TTGAACTATAATTTAAAAAGATATTTAGTATCAATATGAATATATTATATAATAAAATTCAACTTACAATCTGAAATGTTTGGCTTTTCTTCAGACGATTTTGGTTTTGAAATTATTTTTTGTCTTTTTTCTATTAAAACAATATAAAAATCAGGTTATTATTTGAAAAATCTGATTGTTTGATATAAATTCAACTTATATTCTGGCTCTGCTTCGATTGATTTTTGTCTTTGGGTTCGCTTTGCAGGTGAACTTTTGATTTCTATTAAAACAATATTAAAATCAGTTTATTATTTGAAAAATCTGACTGTTTGCTATAAATTCAACTTACGTTCTGGCTCTGCTTCGACTGATTTTTGTCTTTGGGTTCGCTTTGCAGGCGGATTTTTGATTCTATTATAAAAATATAAAAAATCGGTTTATTATTTGAAAAATCTGACTGTTTGATATAAAATCAACTTACGTTTTGGCTCTGCTTCGACCATTTCTTTCACTGAGGTCGTAATTGTTGTCTTGCAGGCGGATTTTCAATTTCTATTATAAAAATATAAAAATCAGTTTATTATTTGAAAAATCTGACTGTTTGATATAAAATCAACTTATGTTCCAGCTCTGCTTCGACCAATTTCTTTCGCATAGGTCGTAATAGAGATTGGAACTAGTTTTATTTTTAAAACTGGTTTTATTTATATCCTAAAAATTGGAACTGGTTATAAACCAGTTGAAACTGATAAACCGATAAACTGGTTATATTAAAACTGGTTGAACTAATAAGCCAGTTGTATTAAAAAATCAACGCTTCAGTCTATTATAGTGTGAGATGTAAGCTAAAAAAATGACTTTTAAGACTCACATTCTATATAGTTAACTGCAAGATAAAAAAATTGAAGCCACATTCCTGATTTGCCGATCATCTGATTCTGGTTCAACTGCAGAAAATTAATGGAATTCTATGGTGATCTACATATTAGCAGATCGGACATAATAAATACCATTTAAATTTGTATTAATTATACTATTGTTAAAATATTTATTTATTCAATAAAGGTCACTGATATTAGCATTGTTATCTGTAGCAATAGTAAAAACCGTTGTTTCAAGACGCCATTCGCAAATTATTCGAAATAACTCTTCGCTAATCACTTCTCCAGTATGTGAATATGGAAGATGTTTACAAGAAAGAAGGGCTTCCCGAAAATTAAAATCGGAGGACAGCTAAGTTTCTGTAACGCCTAAGTAATTATGTCGAGATTTTGCAGTCCATAAATCGGTAGTCAAATAGATGTTCATTACACTACTACGAAATAAGGAGCTAAGTTGATCATAACTCCATTCATATGCTTCATAGATTAATTTTTTAGCAGTTTTATCACATGGAATACGAAATTCCAGCTCGCACGCATACATAAATTCACGAAAAAATCAATTTTGTAAGATATAAAGGGGCAAAACAAAATGAACAATAAATTGGATTAATTTCTTTGATAAGAATTCTTGTCTTTTGGGTGGACATGGTGGTGCTGCGATATTTGTATCATTGTAATAATCGGTAACTTGGGTTTGATCGCGTTTTGGCTAATAAGCAAATTACCGACTAATGTTTCTATAAAATATAAATATACAAATAAACAGTTTATTAAAAGTAATAATAATTTACCTCCATATGTTCATCCAAGTATTAAGTATAATTATTCTTGGTTATACTATGCTTTTCTTGTAAATGATTTGTCATACTTGTTGTGTTTCCACCTTTATGACCATATGCATAAGCCTTATTATTAGTTTCAAAAAAATTATGCTCGCATATTTTACAATACGCTAATTCAGAATTATTTTCATCTATTCGAAAAAATGAGAGGTATGACTTTTATTTCTGCGATCGGATACTACATTAGATTTCCATTTTTTTCAATTATTATTTGAATTTGCGGAACGTGTAGTATTAGAATCATTATCGATATCTGAAGGCAGAGACAGAGAAGAAGACATTTTTTTTTGTTAATTTTGTAAAATGAACTTTGAGATTATTATAAATATTGATTAGTTCGTATTCCGTAAAACAAATAAAAACCGGTTATTATCTCTTAATCTATAATGTAGACAAATTTGCCTGTAAAACATAGTAGCATAATGAAAACCTACAAAGGGATAATCTGATATTGATAATCTGATATTAATATCGATGGGTTGGAACCGATTATCGATATCAGATTATAACCGGTTTGAATTTAGGAACCAGTTATCGATATCGGATTTATAACCGGTTGGAAGTTTAAACTGGTTATAATAAAACTGGGTTATCGAATTTATAAAATTCTAAACCAGTTATAATCTGAAACTAATTAAAACTGATTATAAATCTGATATCGATAACCAGTTCCAACCTCTAGTTTGCAGGGTTTGAGAATAGTCAGATGATTAATTCTAACTATCATCAGCCCAAAATCCATAAGAGTAATATAGATATTTGTTTCGATTACTGGAAATTGGTAAAGATTACTGATGCGTCTGAAGAACTATCTGATATTTCATCTTTCAAAGAATTGGCTGATTTACTGTTATAGTCTTTGATGATCTTGCTGGGAAATCTTTAACAACTCAGCTAAAAATTGTTCCATTCTTTAGGTCAGGCAGATATAATAAAATTAGTTCAATTTATACTACCCAACGTTTTTATGAAACCCATTCAAATATACGTGCAAATCTTAAATATATTTCATTGCATTGTGGATGTGAAACATTAGATAGTGTAAAGCGAATTCTTAAAGATATACATGATGATTATAAGCTTCTAGCAAAAAAAATTTATGAAGTAATAAAAAAACACTTCATGGTTATTGATATCTGAAGACGATCTGATGACCCCTTATCAATTAGATTTAGATGAGACAAACCTTTAAAAGATAGTTAAATTTGGGATGATTCGTATTTTGTGGACTCATCCATATCCATAAGGTAAAGTTTCATAGGATGTGATTCTATCTTTTGGTTCTTCTGCATGACAGATTGGGAATTTATAATTCTGATTTCTATTTAAGGGTATTTTATAATTCAGAAGATTTTTTCTTCATTGTAAGGTAAAATAAAAGATGAGAGGATATACGCCATAAAAGTATATGATTAGTAATACTATTACAAAGATGATTGCATACTGAAAAAAGAAAGAATTAGTTTCCCCTGCTTTTGGATCAGTAATAGAATGCAAGTGGGACAATGCTAAAGTAGTATTAGAGATATCATTTTTCCCTAATTACCTGGGTTTCAAAGGAATCAGGGTTAGGTTTTTTTTTCAAAATTGGTTAAATATTTTTTTATACGAGTATTGGCCTCATGAAAGAGGGAATCTTTTTCTGATAATACTTTTTCTAGGCGAGTATTAGCATCTTAAAGGCGGTAGTCTTTTTCTGATAATACTTTTTGCAACACCTCCAATATATCTTCCTTAGCAAGTTTTTTTTCAAGTTCTATTACTTTATCTTCAAGCCCAAGCTCACAGACAATACTTCTTAAATTATTATAAAGCCAATTTGGTAGCTTTGGTATTTCTATCAGCTCTTCTATCACTCCTTCTATTACATCCAAATCATGATATGTATGCTCTAGATCTATGTCTTCTAACTTACTTTTCAATTTATGTATTTTAGTTTCAAGAGAAAAAATCTGAATCTTATCAGCGAACGAAGCTTTCTGGGCTAAAGTTGCCTCTCTCTTTAGTATTTTAATATTGGATTTGAGCAATTTGATTTCAGCAGAATATTTGGCTTCAAGTTTACTATTAGCTGTATTCAGCTGACTAAACTTATTATTAAAACCCAAACAGATATGATTAAAATCCTTCACTCGCTCTAAATATATATCCTGCAAGTTTTTATAATTATTAGCAATATCAGAAGCAGTTTTGATATTACCGTGAAATACTTTCTCAAGTTCTGATTCACAGATGCTACTAAGCTAATGATCTGGGAAAATGTTTACCTAATGAACCCTCAACTGCCCCTCTATTTTCAATATCTCTTAAAGTATGTACATTGGGCATATTTTTTTCAGCTTAGTCATTAGTATAGTAAAAAATTTATGAGCAAAATTTTGAAACCACACGATCCTAAAAGCACTTTATTTTTATGAATACTAGTATATTACTGATACTACCGATACCATAATATTACCAATACTAGCATAGTACTGATACTACTATTAATGCTACTGATACTATCGATATTACAATATTACCGATATTACTGATATTACTGATATTAGCATGATATTGATACTATTATATTACTGATACTAGCATAGTATTAATATTTTATATATTTTTTTATTTATAATGAAAAAAAAATCTCTAGCGATTAGCTACTAATATGATCCTATCTTAGCTTAAAACACATATTAGTTCTAAGGCTAGTTACTTGTTCCTTGCAGATTACAAAGACATCATGTAATATCGTGATATGAAGTCTAAACCTTTAGCTCAGCTAAGTAAAAAATATAATACATTGAATAGTTGCTTATATCAAATTTGGAGAGGACAAAAGTTTAATAGGATTCAATAGAATGATTTAGCAGTCGCTCCAAGTATGAAAGTTATAGATAAACAGAATGAGGAGCGCCAAGCTGAAAGAGATTTTCAAATAAATTTAATACTGCTTTTACAGCATTAGAAAACAAGATACGCGATGCTAAAATTAGCAAATGAAAGTGCAAGTAGTAAGGTAAAAAAGACCGGAGATAAGAAACGATTCTAAGGGGTCAAGCAACACCTAGAACAAAAAAGAAATTATTTCGCCTACTGAATCCTCTGAAGATGTCTTAGATTTATATAAGAGAATTGATAATACTTTAGAAGAAATTAAAGCATCTGGTCGTCCTCTTATTTCCAAATAGTTATTCGTCTTATTCAATCTGATTACGCAAACTATTATAGTATTCTATGATTTCCAAATTTGATTGAATGCTAGAAAATAATGTCTTTTCGAACTCTTTTATACGAATTGCCTTATCCTCATAGTTCATGTAATTTACACACTTTTTTAAGTTTTCCTTACTAGTCAGATTAGAAGAATTAGCTAAAACCTGAAAGCCAAGAGGTGCTTTGTATGATGATTCTGATCCTCTTATGGTAGGTCTTTAACTACAGGAGTCTTGCTAAAGGTTGAGATAATATATGTCTTTTCATGTAACTTTATGCGGAACTGGCTTTTATTTGGCTTGGAAATATCTTGAACCTTTTGAATGTTTGACATACCAAAAAATAGCATTGGTTCTGTTTTACCATTATCAATACTATTATCTTATGATACTAATGACTGAAAATTAGTATTGACGCAAGATTAGCAAAGGATTTAGCTTTAAGACTTTACAATGCGATTTATGGAGAGCTTCTGAAGGTTTATCGATCAAATGTATTTTAAAAGACAAGTATGATTTATGGGTTAAGTAATTTAGAATTTTATTAAAGAAAAGAATTATTACAAATGTATTTGTTTACATATAAGTGTTTTAGTAATTATCTTGTTAACGATAAAACTAAATAAATTCTCTCCTTAAAAGTTCCTATGTTATTGAAGTTCTAAAGCTACCCTATTTATAAGAAATAAAATAATAATAATATAAATATAAATAAAAATAAGAAATGTAATAATTGGTCTTTTATCGTATATCTGACATATATTACATATATGGCAGATTTGGTCAATCTGGCAGATCTGAATCTGCCATAAATGGCAGATTTGGCAGATTTGGCATTTTTCACAGATCTGCCAGTTTTAGCTGATTGGATGGATTTTGTGACAAGGTAAAAATCATGTAATCTATAAGATAACTTTTTAGTTTATTACAATATGAATAAAATTTCCAATAACTGTGACTGTCTTATCTTCTTTATCCTTTAAGGTAACTGTCACATCTGTAAACCATCCTAATAAATCAGTGATATGTTTAAAATTACCCTTTATGACAAAATTAGATAGCTTATCAGCTTTTCATTTAAGTGTCTTGATTGCTGGGTTATTTAAACTACCTAACTCACTGCCGGTATCTAAAAAAGATTCAGAAATAGTTAAGTCATTTATATTAGCATTTAGATATTTTAAAGATGATAACCACTCATCTGATTCTTTCGATTCCTCCTTCTGAGCCTTTTGAGACAAGCACATTTTTCATATTGGTGATGAGAGCTTAGATAATAGCTGATTGTATGTTTCAGGTTGGCTAGTTATTATATTGGAAGAAGGGATAGCAGAGTCACTATGTAAGCTTTTATTTACTAGTGCCTGTTTTTTTTTTCTGATGTATAATACTAATCATTATCTGCTTTATTATAACCATTCCTATCATTTTTCTCACCATCTGAATTGGAAGAAACTATTGGTATAAGAAGCATAAAATAAGACCAAATGAAATTAGATTGAGCTATCAGTTTATTTGGATAACTTCTTTTGCTATGACCAGTTTTCCCACAAATTTCACATTTTTGTATGTATGCTTTTTTCTGAAATAGATCAGTTAACTGATTTACATTATTTTGAGTTTTTTTAAGTCCTTTTTTAATCCTATCAAATCTAGCAGAATTATTATTTCACTATGAACGAGATCTTTGAAAAGGCTTTATAGGATAATTTGAGTCTAAATCTTTCTTATTAAGTAGATCTACTTCTTTTAAGTATTCAGCTATATAATAATTCTTGAGACCTTCCTTTGTTTTCAATGTAGATGGTGGATCTTTCAGCTGTCTAATCAGTTCAACAGTTTGTGGAATAGTTACTTGCTGAGCCATTTGCGATTAAAAATCAGATTTTTACTTTTCTAATAAAGACTAGTATTCAGTTTTTTGCTGTGTCAGTGCGTTTTGAATTGCTTTTTACATATTTTCTAAAGAAACTTCTTGCTGTTGTGAGGCTGAAACAGGTGAAGATTCATATATTTTGCTGAGATGCTCGATTAGATATTAGTGGATCTGATATTTTATCTCTTTTATGTCTAGCTATTCAGCGTAATTCTATCTCATAAAGTTTTTTAGCTAATTTGTCTAATGGCAAATGTTCACTAATATCTTCAGCTTTTTCAAGTTATGGAAGTGGAAGGGCATTTAAAAACTTCCTACGTAATTCTTCAGGTCTATAGTTAGATTGTCTACCTATTCGTAATATTTTCTATATAATTCATCTATAGTCATGTCTCCCTTTCTAATTGTTCTATACATCAAATCCTGAAGTTCTTCTTCTACAGTAGGGAAATGAGTTTTCAGACATCTTATAGCTTGACCAAATTAAATACTAACTACAACTACTGTAGTACCATTATTAGCATTTAGTACATTTACAGCAAGATTAGTAGGATGATCACCTGCTATATGTCAGTCTTCATTCCAAGGGCATTCTACAACTCTCAATTTAATTATTACAGTTTCTGGTTAACCAAAAGCTTATTGCTTGATTTCCTATCTGAACAGCTATTCACCCATTTACTGCTATTAAGTTACCCTGCCCTATATTATCAAGTAAGTTTGCTAATTTCCAATTCTGTTTTATAGTAATTTCTTTGTTAAACCATTCTAAGGCTCTTCCTCTCATACATCCTCTCAAATATTCTATTGCTACTTCTCTTCCTGTGGGTAGACCTCTCGCATTATCTGCTAAATCTACACCTTGATTTTGCAAATATAATCTAAGTTTTGCTAAAAAATCTGGAATACTATCATTCTAGTCAAAAAATGGTTGTGGGATTTTTGTCATATTTATTTGATTTGGTGGATTATTCTGTAACGCTAAAATTTGTTCCTGCAAATTTAAAATATTCTGGCGAGAATTTTTTTCTTTAGCCTTCCATTTCTCATATCGCTCATAAAGCCTGTCTCAATTATATTTTAACAGACCTATATCTCCTTTACTTCGCTGTAGGTAGTGAACATTTTGCTGATATAATAATTGTAAAGCAAATTTTTCTTGTATTAGTTTACCTATACGGGTTTGCTTTCTTGCTATATTACCTACCATTCTATTTATTTGGTTTTGAGCATTAGTTTGATATTGATAGAGATCACCAACAACTGTAGCCATCCCTCCTTCATCAAGTTGCTTTTGTATTATTTCATTATTCCTTTTAGCCTCTGCATCATAATGCCTTCTCTGCTCTCGGGTTAAATCCTGTTACAAAATATTAAATTTTCAACAAATTTATCTTGTTGCCCTTTTTATTTGGTCTGATAAAATATCTATATGTATTGCCCTATTATCTACATAACCATCTATAGCATCCGCTAGCTCTATAATTATGGTCATATTATTATCAGAATTATACAGGTCAGGAAAATTCCCTTGTACTGGTGAATTTTTCCTTGATGAGATAGTTCTGATCTGACATCACAATCTTTCTACCTGCTCCTCAGATTCTACTAACCGCTCTTTTAAACTAGAAATATATTTTTCTTTATCTCACACATCTTTCCTAGCTTGATATAGCTAACTTTTTAAATTGAAGATTTCAGATCTTAGCTCTGCTATCTCTTTTTCTGAAGCATTCTCAAGACGCTCTATCTCTTTATTGAGATTTTGGATTTCTTGTTCACACTGGAAATAATCTCGCTCCAGTTGATTAATTCAACTCTTATTCTGACAATTAGTATTAATTTCTGTTTGCAATTCACTATGAAGATAGTAGTTTTCCTCTTCCAACTTAACTTTATATTCTTTACAGGCTCTTCTCTGCCTTAGCTGAGGTTTGTAGAATGACATTTTTTTTGTGATTATATAGAAAGATGGGAGAACAGGTTATTTATATTAGTTCCCAAAAAGCTCATGATTTAGACTATCACCTTGCCTTACAAAAGCTTTATTATTGTCCTAAGAGTCTTTATCAAAATGCTAAAGGATTGTGAGATGTTTGTAAAAAAGCTGACTACAGCTTTCCATTTACTGATGTAAAAAAATAGCTTGATAGGCAGGCAATATATCAAATTTTTTGTCCTTCACCAAAGCATGTATCATATATCAGCTACTCTAAAATTATGAAACTGAATTCTGTATACCAGTGCAATTTAATTGAAATACCATATGATGAAGATATGAATACAAATTTGCTAGATAATATTTAATATATGGGGTCTTTGCAATAGAAAGGGGGGAAACTGCCAGGAAAAATTAATTTTACTTTATATACCAAATATGATTTTTATGCTGAAATATGTTCAAATTTAGCATTAACACACTTTTGATTTTTCCGGCTGTTTCCCCCCTTTCTATTGCAAAGGCCCCATATTATTATATGTTAAGGGTTATCGGTCAGAGGATATGTCTTTTGTATTGCTATACAATTTTCAAATCGATGTATCTTTGCCAATACAAGTCCGATTTTTATGAAATAAAAACCATTAGATTCGTCTTATTTAAATGAATCTATTGAAATAATTTTTATTAAAATTTAATCATTAGATTAATAGATAATATATACAAAGTTTAATTTACTATA